GTCTGCCCCCCTCTCAGGCCCCTGCCTGTCCTTTCCTGCGGCCTGGTGTGGCGGCTGGCAGCTGCAGGCACGGGAACTAACTGAAGCCGTATTGTCCACCTGTCCCCGCCCCGCCGCCTGGTTGTCTCTGGCCACATTCTGAGGGCCTCTCTTCTGTGCCAGTTCCAACTCTGGGTGCCATGCTGCAGGACGGGCCACCCCCCACAGGGCCAGCCGGGCCTGCTCCCCAACTGGATGCCTCTTCTCACGGGACACGGGCTCTCCTGCCTGGAAAGCACACTCACCATAGGTGAAGAAGCTTGGCAGGTAGAGGACCTTCCTCCCCAGCACATTGGTCCCCAGGGTGGGGGGCATCGGCTCATGGCCCACCTTCAAAGACAAAAGCAAGGTCAGTTTCCACTGGCGAGTCCATCTCTGGCTTCTCTGTCCTGGGTCTGTAACTCTCCTCCCCCAAATTCTAGGGCTAGTCCCGTTCACGCTTTCCCATCCAAACACCAGAAGCCTCACTACTGTCTGTGACCACCAGCAACGTGAGCTCTCTCAATGACAGAAACGCCCAGTCCCAGAACCTGCCGACTGCAATCTAAGTTGCAGGCTTCCCCATTACCACCTTCCAATCCCAGCTGTGTCAAGAGTGGAAACGTCCACTCCTATGTACTCTGAACCCCACTCTCATCTCAGAGTCTTGGCTAACGCTCACGCCAGGCCGACGACTTCGTTCCAACCTCAGTTCCAAAAGGGAAACCACCAAAACACATCACACCCAAACCTTGGTCCCAAAGTTGGTCAAGCAGCGCAGCTCTACGGCACCCATTCCGGAGTTCACCACACTCAAATTTCTTACCTGATCCCCTGACGCCATTCCCAGACCTGGCCCACGGCTGGCTACCTCAGATCCCATCTGTTCCTCACGCATATCCTAACGGGTTTGCACCTCAAACATCCCGTGTTCCCGTAACCAACGCCCCCTCACTTCTGCAGGGCCATCACAATGCTGCACAAGGGCTGGCCTAACAGAAGCACACGTTAATCCATGGTGGGTGAAGGATCCGTGTGAGGGGCGTGGTCTCTGTGAGGGGCAGGGCCATTTGCTGTGCTGTCAACTAATGGGAAGATTCTCTCTGTTGCCAGGCAGGAGACCAAGTGTCTAGCCTAGTACCCAGGTTGGGGTGAGATGGTGCCAGGACACCAGTCCAATGTCCTCGAAGCAGGCCAGCTGTGCCCAGGGACCAGAGCAGCTCCTCCGGATATGGAAGAGGACCAGGCCTGTAGCCATAGAGGGAGCAGAAACAGCAGGTTAAGCAGCTCTGCCTTGTGAGCAGCGAATGGTGTAATGGTTACATCACTGGACTCCCATGCAGTTGACCATGCTTCGAGTCTTGGATCTAGCAGCTTAAAACTTACACTGGGTGCATGCGTGTGCATGCCCAAAATCCCGAGAGGGAGAATGGAACAGAAGGGACTGTGGCGTGGCCATCCCCCTGGGATGATTTCTTGCTTTGTCTCTGTCTCTTGGGCAAACATAAGTGCCCTATAGCAAAAATGATCTCTCTCTAAAAAAAAGCTCTGCCTTAAGGCCAGCAGGTGGCACAGTAGGATTGTACTGGACTCCCACTGGTTGACCATAGTTCAAGTCCTGGACCCGGTGGCGTGAAACTCACGCTGGGTGTGTGTGCATGTGTGCCCAGAATCCCAAGATGAAAATGGAGAAGGAATTACAGTATGGCCAACACCCCTGGGGAGTGATTTTTCACTTTCTGTCTCTCTGTCTCTGTTTCTCCAGCAAGCACACACACCCTACAGCAACAATCTCTCTTGGGGCCAGTAGGTGACGTGGTGGTTAAGGACGCTGAACTCTCGCATGGCTGACAGTGGTTCAAGTCCCGGACCTGGCGGTTTGCTTTCCCACTTTCTCACACTCTGTCCCTCTCTGGGAAATTAAAATAAACAAAGTTAAATAAAAGAATTTTTTAAAAAATTCTCAAAAAAAAGAAAAGCAGCTCTGCCTTAAAAACTGGCTGAAGAGTGTGTCGAGCACTTGTCTAGCTGTTTCCGTTTTTCTTTGCCTCAGTCAGGGGCAAGTGTTCAGGCTGTCCCTGTGGATGTGATTCTGAGACACGTGACAGATTACGGAGTGTAAATTTAAAAACTCCTCTATAAGGGCAGTCTTTTTTTTTTTTTTTTCTTTTTTAAGCTTTTGCCATAGGGAAAACGTGCCCTTGCTAAAGAGAGACAGAAAATAAGAAATAAGAAATCATCCCGGGGGATGGCCACGCCTCAATCCCTTCTGCTCCATTCTCCCCTTGGAATTTTGGCCATGCACCCACATGTGCCTGGTGTGACTTTCAAGCTGCCAGGTCCAGGATTCGAACAGTGGTCGACCATGTGGGAGTCCAGCACCTTAACTACCATGTCACCTACTGGGCCATATAGAGACTGACTTAAAAAAAATTTTTATTTTAATTCTAGCCCAGGAGAGCCCCTGGAGGCAAGGGATGAGCCAGCTGGCACGGGCAGCCAGCCTGGCCGTTCCAGACGGTGCCCTTCTGGGTTAAAAGTTCAGAGGGTCTGAGTTCAGAAGTTTGGTCTGATTTTTTGTTCACTTCAATAAAGATGTCATTCCCTTCATATCCTCCACTCCAAGTCCCAACTACTGCTCCCAGTCTTGTCACTACAACTTGGGAGACCCACTAATTCCACTTTCACCCTTAAATCTGTGTCCTTCCAGCACAGAGTCCCCTGACTCCCCAAACTGTTGATCTATTTCCTACTCGGGTTATCAGGGGCACACTGGCTGTATCTCACCCCCAAGTCTGTTGCTAATTCATGTTCACCTAACATCACCCCAAGTCTGTTAACCTACTTTTAACGGCGGCCAAAGCTGTGGCCCTATGGCAGATGCTGGTAGGGCCAGTCCACCTTCTTCAAGTCTTCTGCCCAGACCTAACGTCTGGCCTGCACTTAGGCACTCCATCTAGGTAACCCCCAAATCTGTCCTGTCCCCCAAACAGCAATCAGCCTTTGTGCAACATGTTCCTCTGATTCCCAAGCTCTCACTCTAAAATTGGTTCCACTCAGAGCCACTGGGTTCAAATCAGGTAGGCCACCTCTGCCAGTCAGCAGGGCTCCCCCTTCCTTGCCTACCCGTCCTCTCTCTGGCTCTTACTCTTCAGTCTCCCTCACACTCCCCTCCCCTGCCAAACCTCTGGATTTCCATTTTCTTTTCAAACCTGCAAACCAAACCACCACCGTCCAAAAGATGAAGCCACCTCCCCATCTCCTCCAGAGTCCGCCATGCCTTGTGCTCCAGCATCCTTCACGCCACAGACCCTCCTCCTGGACACCCCGCAATCCAGCCCGCACCCAACCTCCCTCCCTCAGTCCCAGTACTCTCACCTCCTGCCTCCGAGACAGTTTTTCTCCTGAACCTGTAATCTCGATCGCTCTCACATAACCAAATGCCAGTCTGGACCCTTTCCCCATCAGCCATCTCCAGATCTGACACGACTGGTTTCTCGTGGGGCACCTTCGCACCCCTGACAGAGTATCCTCATTCCTCGTCATATTCCTGGTGGCACCCAGAAATCCATGACCCCTACTTCTTAGACCCATTCTCAAGGCCTCCTCTGGCATTCCTAGTGTATGTTACCGTCTCTCGGTCCAATATAATGACAAGAAAACCTGACACACACTTGCCTCAACTCGAATCAAACCTCAAATCTCAGTTGGGTCTCCATCTCAATTTTTGCCCCCACCCCCTTCTTAACTGGAATATCCTATCCCACACCTTCATGCATCAGCTCAGACCTAAACACCCCCTCATCAAAACACCCCCCTCATTTGCCCGCCTAATTCTGCCAAATGCACACACACACACACCACACACACGCTTCTTCCAGCTCATGCCCTATCTCCAGCATCCATAGCGCACTGCTGGCCACCACCACTGCGCCTATGCACCCCTCCACTCCAGAGACACCCCATCTCGTTCTCAATTCTTGCTAGCCCCCACCTATTCTCCACTGTCCCTTCTGCCCAATTCCAACACTCTCATACCCCGTCAGCCCGCCCGACCCCCGGACAGAGCACAGCGTCCATCCGGACCCCAACCATTTCTGTTCTCTTATCCAAATGCGTCATCCCCTTCCTCCTAAAAGCCGCCTCGCTCCGGCCTCCAGACACATCGCCGCCACTCCCCTCCCCCAATGCGTTGCCCGATCTGTTCCCCTCCTCCCACCAAATCTGTCGTCGCCATCAAATCCGGAGCCCCCGTCTCCTGTGAACGAGAGCTCTCCCCGCTCTATTCTTTGCCTGCGCACTCTCCCACCAAATTCCGTCACCATTAAACCCAATACCTCTGTCCCCTCCTCTCCCACAGTCTGAAGTCCTGGCTTCCATGGCCCTGGCGCCCACTCCTTTGTCCCTCAAGCCTTTTCAACCCACCTCTACCAAATTTGGAGTCCCCGTCCCCTCGGCCCCATGATGAGCTGCTCCCCTCCTTCTCAATACTCTGCCTCGGCGCCCCCATCAACCTTGCCACCCCTTCGCCAAAACTTCTCGCCCTTCCTCTGTTGTTACTTCTCGGCCCCAAATCGATGCCCTTCCCTAGCCTGTGTCCACCGCTCCCAAATCAGCCTGCGTCCCACGGCCCTCTGCCCTGAACCCCTCCAGACGCCTAGTGTCTCCCACCCTCTCCCAAATCTGTTTTGAAGCCTCCGCTCCCTCTCCTACACCCCGTATTCTAGACTCCTCACCGCTTCCCTCCTCTCTCCCGCCCCGCAGACCTCGCAAACCCGCCTCTCCCCCATCGGTCGCCATGGCCTCCTCGGCCCCAGTCCTCCGGGTTCGGCCTGTCACCTTCACAGGGTCCCGTCTCCCTACGGCGTCGCCAGCCCCCCACCTGGATGAGCAGCTTCACGTAGAGCAGCGGGTGGCTGAGCGCCGTCACGCCCGCGCCCAGGGCCACGAAAAGAGCCTCGGTGGTCGGGGCGTTGTCCCCGGAGCCCAGACCCCCGGACGCTCCATCCATCCTGCGGGCCGTGGGCTGCGCCGCAGGCCGAGGGTGGCGAGGGTGAGCGCGGTGCGCGGGCGGCGGATCGCGAGCACGGGCCTCGACCCCCGCTGCTGCTCCGCCGCGAGCTCCCGCTCCCGCCCCCCC